GGCAGCCCTGTACCCACAGCCCATCCTCACTGGCAGCCCTGGACCCACAGCCCGTCCTCACTGGCAGCCCTGTACCCACAGCCCATCCTCACTGGCAGCCCTGGACCCACAGCCCGTCCTCACTGGCAGCCCTGTACCCACAGCCCGTCCTCACTGGCAGCCCTGGACCCACAGCCCATCCTCACTGGCAGCCCTGGACCCACAGCCCATCCTCACTGGCAGCCCTGGACCCACAGCCTGGCCCTGCTCACTGCAGACTTAAAAAGTACCATGCAAAATGATGGTGCTGATTTCCCCATACTGCGGAATCACCAGCGGCCGGCCACTGGACGAGGCATCCAGGCCCACCCTCATGATGTCTTGAATTAATTCATCAGAGTATTTTCCTGCTTTGGACATTCTGAAAGTCAGTCTCATGGTCGCCATCACGCTGTTATTGACGCTCCTGGATGAAAAGAGACAGGACTTATCTACAGTATCGCGTTCAGTCACACCAGGGATTCAGACAGGAGTCAGTCCTCTGACATGCAGCCATCCCTTGAGTTTGGTTCATAACCGTTTATGATAAAATCAACATGAAGGGTATTGACTTACCCATAGGTTACAACATTACTGTCCACAAAACGATCAGCTACTGGCGAAGCGAGGAAGACATTTCTTATCTGTAAATGGTTCAAATAAAACATTTTTTGTTTAAAAATTACAGTAAAGGCCCCTAATCCTGACTAGAATAAGCAATAAGAACAAGGGCGTAACTTTGGTTTGAAGATCGGGGGGGTAGAGGTCCGCACCCATTTAGGGGGAGACATGACTATGAGGGGGTTGTATTGGCCTTGACATTTACACCCATGGGTTAGAAGACGGATGGGCCGTTTCTCTGGAAGTTGATTCTAAGCCTTGATAAACATGCAGTGATCTCACTAAGAGACACGAGACGGGCCCAGACTCCAGGGTGATCCGACCTTGGTCTTCAGAGTGGCGGAGAGCACCATGGGTGCTGTGGCTGCCTCGTCCTGCAAACTGGGATCATACCGGAGACCTTTCAGCTCCACGGTCTCCATGAAGTAATATTCCTCCTGCTTCAGGTGTGCTGAGAATTAGGGGGGAAAGAAAATCCTGCAGACTCACAGATACTGTCAGCAAGAATAAGCAACATTTGATAACTAAGTCAGTTTCATTCACTAAATTAGCTGAAACTAAATTACTTCAACTAGGTGCAGAATCCTTTTCATTACCGATCATCATCCCAGCAAAGACCCCAGTGATGAGGAAGATCACAAAGAATGCCAGGGCAGTGACCCTGCAGCGGCGGGTGGTAGAGCCGGCCAGAGGAGCTTCTGCCAGCTTTGATTTCTCCAGATACTTCTTCATCTCCATTGCAGCATCGGAACTGGAGTATTACCTCTAGAGAACACTGGTCTAAAACAGAAATAAATACCCGAAACAGTTTCCTCAAAGCATCAAACGAGTGCAGATTTATTTATCCTAATTTTACTTCCAGGGCTAGAATTACTCTTGACCCGATTTTGGTTGGTCGTTCCTGAACTCACAACGCCCTCGGCACACTTACTCATGTCTAACAGTAGGTGTCGCAGCAGAGCGACGTATCGAGTGAAATACCAGAGAGAACAGTAGACAATTTGAAGACACTGACCCTCTTCACCCCGGGCGGTTGATGTGGCACATCAGGGAATACGGAGTTAAGGTTGTTAGATAGCATTCTAAAAGCGTTTTAATTATTATTTTTTTGTTTGTCGACCATAGGTGGTATTTAATTATGAGGTGTCAGATGGTAAGCAAAACTATTCTGACAAACCTGTCAGAAAAGACGACATGAGCTACAAAATCATCAAGCAAATAGCATTTTTCACCGTATATTAAATTGCTTTAAATTGTTTTGGTTTGCTTGGCAGAGTGGGCATCTAATTATGTTCAATTATAAGTTATATTGGTAGTCATACTCTGACCTCCAAAAGTCATTAACTACAGTACGTGGGCAAATATATAAATCCGTTTGATTTTCTTTTGCTGTTATTCTCTTATTTGTAAAGTCAAAATTAGAGACTGACAGGACACTCAAGGCAGATTGATTGACTGTTGTGAGGCGCATCTCCAACGTGGGAGTAAAGACATGTTCGGTGTAGGTGGAAACACGTAGAAATGTATAGCTACACAGCATAGAATACTCATCAAAAAATGATTAATGCTTCACTTTCTTTAATTCTGCCTGAAATGCCAAAATACAATCAATTACATGCAATGCGGCCTCCAAACTACAAAAACGATTTGTTTTATTCTTTCTGACCGCGTACGGTGCATATTTCAGTAATACTAACGCAGTTAATACGAAGCAGGCCTATTTTTGATACCAAAACATATTCAGACTACTTCATCCTTATTAAACTATAAAATTTGGCAAATGTTATACAAGCTTCACAAATATGTACTTGAACAAAAAACGGGTAAAATTATTAACATATCTCTAAAGTGGTTAAACATGTTCAGAGATTGTATGAATAAGAATATACTTACCTGTTTCAGCGTCTTTTTCCAGCGTGTCACTGAAGCGCAAAGTATTCTTTCAGCTAGAAAGGTTTCGGGACAGACCAGCTGAACTCAGCAAAGAAACTATCAAGACCACTATTATGTGCCTGACCAGCAGATGGGCGTCTAGGTAACAAAGACGGGCAGGTATCCTGCTTTCCGCCCGCAGGAATCCCCCGGGCCTCCCCTCCCACCGTATCGCGTTGCAAATTCAGCATTTTCTCGTTTTTTAAGGAAAACAAACATGAGACGATAGCGGTCGAAGAGGTTAATTTCATGTTGCACGTAAATGAGATGCTTTAAAACACAACGTTGTGAAGTTCGATTGCAAAAAGAAAAGGTGCGCAGGTGGCCGCGTTCGCTTCGCGCTTCTACACACTGACATTTATATGTCGATTGAAACGTGACACACGACATTACTGATAACAGAAACCAGACCGATCCCGAATCACGCCATCGACGCATTTCTGCACTTGGATGCCTATACGCCCAGATAATTGGCCTAGTCGCCATGGGCCAACGTTTCACATCAAAAGCGTTTACTTCATTTCCCCAAAAAGGATAAGCCCAATGTTATTTGTATTAACTTGGCTCAACTCTCTAATCTGATGTAGTCTTTAATTATTGTAACTGCAAAGTAAGCTAACTCCTTGTTATTTACAATAGGGGCGACTGTGCAATCTTACGGTCTCAACACAATCTTCGTTAATACAAAAACAACGTAAACTAGTGTTTTCATCCAAAATTTGGTATTACACCAGATTTTCTTCGGTAAAGTGATGTTCATAATCCACTGTCCTGCCTCCGTCAGCGCCTCCTGTGTAGCTACTCCGCCATGACCCAGCTCTTACAAACAAGTGTAGCATTGACATTTCCTTTTTAATTACAAGTTGAGTAAAAGAACAATGCGGTAGTATAAAACTCTTTCCGATCAGAGCAGCAGGCGTGTATGTTAATGCTTGGAGCGAAGCCCACAGACTCACAGGCTCTCTGCCCAGATCTCTTTACATCATTTAAGGGGATTCCATTCTTTCTTCAGCAATAAAAATTCCACATTAATCAAGTTTCCGTTATTTAATATCCTTCCACGGTGAAAAATTTTAAAATAATCTTACAGGTTTCAGTTTTTTCGGATTCATAAAACTCATAAATATATTTATTGGAAATAGGAAAATTCAGCAGAAAATTCACACCTGACATCGTAATACTGTGTTATGTTCTGCTCCATTCTGACATTACAAATGCTACACAACAGAAACAATGTAAAAATGTCATAACCTGTCTTTGTAAACGTCTAAGGCTGTAGGTGGACGTGTCTGATCTAATATGTTGATGTATATCAATTCATAACATCGTATTGATAAGGAAATTAATAACAGCCTATTATTATGATTATTGTTAATATTAGGCCTCATAAATAGAAAACGCATGTATTTAGTTGATTCAATAACCGGCAAAATACCCACATGTATCAACACCAGCTCCGCTCAAACGGACTTTATATACCGACGTTACTTGGTCATTCACAGAAATATAACCACTGATAAGTACCTGTATTGGGCGCTGGGGATTAAAGAGGTTATTGAGACTAACTGCCAAAAGTATTTTATAAAATATAACGCCGCCCCATGGGATTCCATAGAGGTGCCGGGAGAAGCACAAGCGCCTCTTTGTGAGTCCGCGCGCGGGGAGGCATGAAGCGCAACACTTCGGACACCGCCGAGCGCCGCAGCCGCAGCCAATCAGCGGCTCTCTCTTCTTGCGCAATCAGAGGGACGTCAAAGCGGTGACGTCAGCGACCGCTACGCGACATTCCTAAGAACTGAGACTGAATAACGCAGCTCCCGGTGCCAGAAAGACACTATAAGCCCGCCTGCTTGGTGACAGAATGAAAACTACGTTCTCTCAAAACATCGTTTTGTCAACACCGGTTATCGACTGCTAAATATTCAACATTTACAAAAAAGACTAAAAAACACTAGTAAGTAAAACTGCTTTATTGTAGTCCTCTGCTGAGGTATATAAAACCACATGGTCCGCTGCAGTCCATAAGTTAGTTATACCATTTTTTTTCGTTATATAAGACTACACTGATGGGGGTGTCCATAAGACAGTCACTCAAACCCAAATGATTACAGAAAAAAAAATCTATGACCCTCTTTCCCAACTAAATTGTACTGCCGCACAAAAAAGAGTTTCGGCAAATCAATTTCCGGACTTGTGTTTGTGGCAAAAATATTACAAGCAGCATTAAGCAGAGTCCCTCTTTCAGTATTCAACTGCAATGTCATAACCGAGGAACCGCCACCTAGTGTAGAACATGAGAATTACCGACATGACAAAGAACAAACCATTTCCGGTCTGTGGAAGGACGCCGGGCCACGAGACTCATAAGTATGACAAAAACAACTTATAAAAGTGATAGCGAGACACTCAGTGTTAAAGAATATTTACGCGTATTGGTAAAATAATCCTCTCACATTCCAAATGTGCATAAAGACACTGACTGTAGCCAAGTTTGTATTATATATGAACAGCAAATGTTACATATTCACAATGTACAAATGTTCAAGTAGCATCTGGTGTAAATAAGTATAAAACAAAAAAAGGTAGCAGGTGTAACACTCCTACTCGCTGTACACAAACCGGCTGCCTTTGGCTTGGTGACACACAGCCCGCTCGGTAACACAAACACAGTACTGGTGCGTACTGCTGAACAATAAACGCTAAAAGTAACAGACAAACTATGAAAGCACATCATAAATACAGTATTCAGTTTCTAATATGTCAGTTTCACACAGACATTCAGTTTCAAACCAAGAAATCTCACTGAGGCCAATATGTAACTTGATACAAAAACTGAGGGCATAGTCTCAGTACAGTTAAAAACGGGGATTAAATACAAGCATGTTGAACTGCCTTATCAATATAAGATACAGGTACAGCTTATACTGAGTGCCGTTATCAAAGACGTAAAATATTCACATGCACTGGTACCGTGGCCGAATAAAGAGGAAAGAAGCTGGACTGAATCTGCCTCGACGAGAGACAAGCCGGTTTTCAGATCCCAGTTTTGGGGAAAAGACAGTGCTCTTTTTAAAGGGTATTCTTGCATGTCCCTCTCTGCATAACAAAGCTGACTGGATTCTAGTATGAGCACTGGAATTTTGTGGGGGTGAAGGTTAGTAATGAAATGAGTGATGGGGGCATCCAGCTCTGACTGAGCATGGCACGCAGAAGGTAGGGGCCCGCCGCTGGGTCGACGGACGCCTTTCTGGGTCGACTCCTTGGCCTCGAGCCGTCCACGCTTCCACCCCTGCCACAGCGAAACGGCAGCATGCAGTGAGGATGTACGGAGCCCCGGCCTGCAGGTTTGCTGCTGCTTGTGCTTGTTGTGTGTGACTTAATTTTCCAGGCCTTAGAGCCTCCGTTTAGTACAGCTTTATTCGGTCTGGACCTGCTGCCAGGTCCCCCTTCCCTCTCTTAATGCCACATGTGAAGTCTTCATGATTTGTAGTCCACTTAAGTTCATATTGTTTCAGTATACAACAGCTTATCCATTGTGAATAGGAAATAATTAAATTAATAAGAAACTGGCATCCCACGCCACTGTCCCTTATTCTGATTGGCCGGCCACATCTGTAGGAGGTGTGGTCTCCTGCAGCGGAGGCGGGTCTTCACTCTGATTGGACACTTCAGCACCATGCTGGTCAGAGCTGCTCAGGGTTTCTTCCGCGGGCGGCTCTGGGGTCTGAGTGCAGTTGATCGGTGCCAGCACTATAGGAGGCTGAGGGACATCTTTCTGTGAAGTGCAACAGAAAACAAGAGTCACGCAACAGCCGAGGGGCATCTCAGCTCTACGCAAGGCCATGAGACACAAGGAGATTCATGCACACAAAAACAGTTACAGCAAAATATGAATTATTACAGCAAAATATTTATTGTTAAAAAGGCCAGCTGAGAAACACAAACTATAAACAGCTCACAGGGGAATGTTATTCTCTAAACCGGTGTCTCTCAAACCAGCCCTCAAGAAACCCCAAGGACTGTTTTGAGGGACACGGCTCTAAACTTCTGGCCAGAAAAACAAGTTAAATGTGTTTTGTGAGAGTTGGGTTTTACTCAACTTTAATTTCAGTTACTGTCAGTCTTAATAACAACAGCATTTTCTGAAGGCACTCATATCAAACTGCTATTCACCACAAATCCACTTCCTGTCCAGAACATGTGCAATTCCTTGCGCCACAGAGCCACTGTCAAGCTGGTGAGGAGTGTGCAAGGCACCAGATATAAGAGAGCAGGCTGGCCCATCTGCATCAGAGCCAGGGCCACAAATGTGATGAGCAGCCCGATGCCATAGGCTGGGGGAGACAATGGCAGACAGACGTCAAGCACCCAGGTTAATACACAGCTGACAATCACCATTATACACATTGTATGAAATAGCGTTTAACAATGGGCAGTATCAACTTATTACTGTTTTTCTGTATACTTTGCTGTACAAACTATATACTGTACTTTATCATTACGGTTTACAGCTCCTTTGTATTGCTATACATTTATTCATCCATCCATCCCAAATATTTAATACAAGAAATATTAAAGGACAAACAGGCACCTTTCGGTATATAACCTTAAGGCATTAAGGCAAAGTTTCATTGTAGACAAAAACATCAGAATGTAGATTCTCCCACTCTGCCCAAGGGCTGCAGGTTCACTTACCTATAGTGCAGGCCACAAAATAGATCTGCGATGAGTGCATCACTATGTCAAACCTGTGACAATAGGCAACCAGAAGGCCTTGCAGAAAAGCACAGAAAAACAGAGTTAGCATCTATGCGTGAATTTCTATGCTGTCCGACTCCTGATGAATAGCTAACTGATCCATCACTCACTTTCGAACACTGAGGATTAAAAAACACACAAACCGATGTGGAAACACTTAACTAAAAAAAAAAAAGAAAAGGAAAATTAGCAATGCGGGGCGCTTTGGTGCATGGCTGATTTTACCTGGCACTAAGATGTCCCCAAAGCCCAGCAGGGAGAAGGGTCGGTCACACAGGGCTAAGGGGGAGAAGTTCAGCCTGGGGACCTTAAGCACCATTGGGAGCTGTGCAATCAAACCACAGAAAAACGCTACAAAACCCAAACCAAGAAGGCATCCCCAGTTACACAGTGCAGTAACATCATAAACATGTATGCATCTTCATTTGGCCATGACTAGTTGAGGCTAACAGGTTGGGCCTGATTATGTGCATGAGGTGCCCCCCCCCCCCCCGGTATTAAGGAGAACGCGTGGCAGCCCAGCACACAATAGCCCCCGGAAGGACTTACTTTCTCGTGCGTAGAGGAGTCCGAGGGGCCTGCAGCCACCTCGACCATTATACTTTCTCCACTCTGAACAGTATGCGGGGAAAGAAAACAAACCAATCCTGAATCTCCGAAAGCAAAACACTGGGGGGGGAAAGATGCTGTGGGTGGGGAGCAGCTTGAGGTTACCTTCGTGAAGAGCGGCGTTATAAACACAAAGAAAACGTCGTAGACGAACAGCACCATCAGCAGGAGAGTGCAGGCCTGCCAAAGGGCGGGAGAAGAGGCCTTAGTGTCTCCACAGCGCCGCCGAAGGGGGACTGAAGCCAGTCACACGTGTCCTACATCTCTACCATACCTGTTGTGTTGTCACATCCATTGTATTTATTAGCTCGAGTCACCACCATGGTAGTAATGGCCAAATGAACCTTCGTGAACCATTTGCTGTATTTTCTGACCCCACTAGATGGCGCTCTTGGTTTGCTTTAGGACATGCTTTGTGCCCTTGTTTGAACAGAGAGCACCATCAATTGATCAGAAAATACAGCAAATGGTTCACGAAGCTTCGTTTGACCATCACTGTTTTGTGGGTACCCCTAGCTATGGGTCAGTGTGTGCATGTTCTCTATTTTTATCTATTAGCTATTATTCTCGTTTTTCCCTCTCCCTCATGTGTTGCACTTTTCTTGTTTTTAGTCTATACTTTATGTATATATACACACTACACCACGGTCCTGGGGAACATGATTTCATGCTACTTTATGCTGTGGATAGTATATAGATGGCATGACAAAGATCCCCTTGACTTGACTTGAGAGGGACAAGAGAAAAGGAAGCTGGACAGAGGACAACACACACCTTAAAAGTGGGCAGCCTGATTGTTTTGAGCATGTAAAGGCAGAAGGCGATTCCCAGCGCATCCTGTAGCACCCAGGCCCACCTACAAGCGAGCACGGCAGTTTACACGGGGGGGGGGGGGGGGGAACCAACAGATTAATCACAGCAAGTAAGAGGCTTAGCAGGAGCAAGAATGGATAATAAAATTTATAACCAAGTCATCGTGTCTAACCAAACACCAACGGAGAAAGCAGTCATTTAAAAACAATATACGTAAACACAAGAGGCTAGCAAGCGAAAATAAACATGTCATTTTTTATGATTAAATTAGCTGTATGTATACTCACTGATCCTCATTCCGGAAAAATCCCCAGGTGAAGCTGACGCCTACGCAGAAGGCCGCCAGCAGCAGCATTCGCACCTGGGGTCTCTTGTGGCAGTAGGGCAGGCTGTTCCCCGGGATCCTGCAGGGGAGGGGGGCGCAGGGGGACACGCTGGCATCACTGGAAGAGCAGGCACTGGTTTGGAGGGGGGCAAACTGCGCACCCGACTGTGGGCTCACCTGCATTTCCCAAAAGGAATCCTGCGCACCAGCGGGCACAGACAGCTGTACAGGCCAATGGAAGCGGCCAGGCAGAATATCCCTATGATCATGTACACTGGAGGGTGGGAAGAGAGGAAGTCAGCCTGTAATTCAAAATCTAAAAGTAAGCGGAATGAAAACAGGGGGGCAATGTGGGGGGGTGGGGGGACTGCCCGTTACCCAGGTGGTCGTAGAAGAAGTAGAGCAACACGAGCATGGAGCAGCACATGACCACGAAGACGCAGATCATGATGGGCGTCACGTCCACCGTCTCCTCGTCCTGCTTCTCAGCGCCGTCGTCACGCTTGTGCTTCATGTAGCGCCTGCGGGGGCAGACGGCGCTCAGGACGTCATGGTTACGCACGTGTCCCTGGGAGACGAGGCCCGGCAGCCCCGCGACCCCAGAGGGCCACACTATGAAGTGCGTTCACTGGCCTAGTGGCTTTTCTTCAGCTTTTGGGTTCCTTGAATGGCATCTCGATTTTAAGCGGGAATGCTTCGCTATGGTAATTTATGCTGCACGCCTACACAGCTTGGTGGTTTAAGTGCAGGATTTCGGATAAAAATAAGTTCAAATCCCGCCCTTTCACCAAAAAACCGTGGCCTAGACAGGTGCGGCCCCTTGGACTAAATAGCAGGAAAGGGTGATACCACTGACTTGCTTTTCAATCCGATACAAATAAAATTTAATCAAATGTTTTTATCCCGAGACCAAAATTCATTGTCAGCACCCTAGTATTCAGTTGCCAGGGGAGGATTAAATTTGGCAGGGAGCAGGGGTGCTCATGATAAAATATTACCTACCTCCAACCAATCAAAAGGCAGCTCTTAGCTTACCTCACTAGTTTACAATGCCGACACCACGCATAGAAACCCCGAGTTAACTCTCCGAGAAGGATAAATGGGACTAGGGTTAACGCTGATCGTGGCAATCAGGGTTAGCTAATGTGGCTCTATCAAGTTAACTCTGGTTAGCTGAAACGTGTTTCACAATACACTTCCCAGGTAACTAAGCCAGTAAAAATTCCCCAATATATAACTGGCTAGTATAAACATTACTTTGCATAGTGCCTCTTTCTAGGAATGCAAAAATAAACACAGAGCGTCAGTTTAAAGAAGAATCATTAAAGTATTCAATCAATCCATCTACCCTACAGCAAAACATCAAATCCCATATATCACACAAATACAGGAAATGGACTTCACACATCTGAGAGGGGAAAAGGTTCTGTATATTTTACCATGACATTACATTTGGTTGACTTATGGTTAATGTTTAAATATAGATTTTCCATAATAAGCTTCAGCACATTTTAATTCTAAAATTAGTAAATACACCAAGTAACACTGTTCAGCCGCTAGTCTGCGTTTCTATAGCAACCCAGAGGCTGTCGGAGTTTCACACTTACTTCTTGATGTCCCGGCTGCCTGCCCAGTAGCCGCCAACAGCCACCGTCCCCACAGCCATGACGAAGATGATCACCATGTTGTAATCCAGGACGGGCTCGTTCGGTGCGTACATGGCCACCTGCCCCCCCTTGCCGAAGGTCTAGAGCGAGCGGGGAAACGCTGTCAGGTCTCGCACGGGGGGCCGGCATCACGGCCAGCGGCACCCCTGGCATACCTTACTGATGTCCAGCATGTCAGAGTAGCTGAGCAGAGCCACAGGGATGTCGATCTCCTCGTACTGAGTCTTATTTCCAGCAGGTGGGGTCTGTAAGCAGACAGAGCAGAGTGGGACTGAATGAAAGCACAGACCTTATTACATTTTAATTGTGTGTGTGTGTGTGTGTGTGTGTGTGTGTGTGTGTGTGGGGGGGGGGGGGGGGCTAGGGAATATCAATATTTTTACATAAATGGCAGTACAAAGACCATTACAAATATTCAGCATTCTGCTACTATGATCTGCACAGATACACTTGATGTAAATATTTTCAACTTAGCAACACGGTGGCTAAGCAAACAACACTTGTCTTATACCTCCAGGGTTCGGGGGCTTGAATCCCACCCCAACTCAGTGTGTGGAGTTTGCATGCTCTCCTTGTGTTGCACAAGTTTCATCCCACAAAGACATGCAGTGAGGTGAACTGACGTCTTTAAATGGCCCATAGCGCGTACGGGTGCGTGAGTGGGTGACTGACAGCCTGCCTGGGGTGCTTTCCTGTCTTGAGCCTTATGCTACTTGGCACAGAGTACAGCTCCCAGCCACGCTGGGGGGACGATCCCCAGTAGAGTTATATTTCATTCACTTATGACAGCACTGCCTGACAGCTGTGGGGCGGCTTCAGCACACCGTGATGCCCGTAAACCCACTTCCTCACCAGCCTGTCTTTGCTGACGATGAGCAGCCCCTTGGCGCCGTTGATCTGTGCCAGCCTCACTTTCTCGTAGAAGGTGCAGTTGCCCCGCAGCACCATGGGTATGCGGTTGGCAAAGCCACCTTCGGGCACCTCGGAGGATGAGCACAGGACGGAGGCCGTCAGGTCGTGGATCTGCAGGCGGGACTGAGAAATGCACGGACACATGAAAGAAATCCTCAGGCGAAGGAACCTATGAAAAGCAATCAGCCTAAAACTGGCCCCAGAGGGACACCTAATTAATTGCCTGGATGATCAGAAATAGATTTGACTGTATTACACAAAATGTCTGCTTTGTGCAAGCTTTTTAATAATATCTATGATAAGAGGTCTATGATAGTGAAGCGCTCAGAGACTTCGATGAACCCTGCTTGTGGGCAGACCTGCAATTAACATTGGCTCTCATGTCATCACCAACTAACAAAAACAGTCATTACACTTTTTATAGGCTTACATGTATGATTTAAAAAGACAATGCAGGGAAGACATGCATTGCTACAAATATACAAGATACTTCCTGAAACACATTTTTGGGGAATTAACAGGAAGCTCAAAAGGCGACAACACAACCTCAAAAATCCAGGGCTGCTGACTTGATTCCTGCCCCTAGCTCTATCTGATGTTTTCTTGCATGTTCTCCCAGTCCAGGGATGAACTGCCCATTGGGATTATAGCCAAATTACCAGGGGACTGTACATGGACCAGTAGCCAAGGTGTGAAAAGTATGCGAGAGGGGTGTAATTTCCAGGTTTGCTTTTTTCCCTCCCCAGTCCATCCCAGCTACAGCCTAAAAACCATCTCATTTTGGCAAACCAATGTATTAAATGTCCTTAGTGTCCAGTTGTGTTCACTGATGAACTGGCCAGGGTGAGCTCACTGAGACACAAAGGAGATAACTGATTATGGGAACTGCAGAACACACAAAAAATATCTGCTTACAAATTTACTATGACAGATACTGGTTACCTAAAATATCCAACAATACAGATTCAGCACAACAAGTATCAGCCATAGTATTGTACAGCCCTCTGAATAAAGGATATCTGGGAACTATCAAGCACAGTGAGAAACGGGCACTAACACACAAGAGCACGCAAACACGGAAAAGGACCCCCTAATGTCTTAAGCAGCACATTGTCATCTATACCCACAAGCCCCTTAGACTCCAGAACTGACAGGACTACAGTTGATTTAATTCCTCAAAACACAAAGCCTTCCCTGACAAGTGATTAAAGCCAGACACCGCATATGCTAACCTGAAACTGGCTCTTTGGTGTCATGTATCATCATCTCATTATGATCAGTGTCAAAATCAGGCTGGTCTTGGGAGTAAGAGCAGTCCATCCTCTTTCTGTAAATCTCATTATCCCCTCAGTCAAACTGCTTGCTTTTCACTCACACAAGCAACCACATACACTTCTAAGAGGAATTTAGTACTCCAGTCATCTCAGCAGGGGGGCCACTAGAGATTTCGGGGCCCAGTAAAGCATATGATATTGGGCCCCCAACCCAGACCAATCTGATTACATCCCATTGCTTAATCTCAGAAAAGCTAGCAATCCTTTGTATGAAAAATTGTGGGAAAACACACAGAAGGTACCTTATCCGACAAAAACTACACAGCCAGAAAAAAAAACCATTATTAATATGTTCTGTAGACTTTTTCCACATGTCGTGAAACTTCCAAAACATTTAAACCATTATGTACTGCACAATATGAATGTTTACTCACAGCTTTGTGGAGGTCCTGAGGTAAACGGGCCCACTGCGAGTTGAAAAAGATGCAGTAGTCTTTGCCCTTACTCTTGGCTTTGTCACTGAAATGAGCCATGCCATGTTCCCCGAGAGCCTGCAGGACCAAGACGGACACATGGAGTGACACCCAGTTCTGTAACACGCATCTGGCAATGCGGGGCGCCGTCTCCCCGGACGCACACCGTGCACAGCCAATGCAGCACTTATACAACGAGATTTAGTCTGCGCTCCCGCGACAGTTTTAATAGCAGACATTTCCGTTTTGTGAATGGCCACCCTATAATGGACACTTACACCTGGAGACCATTTATTAACTGTGAATCTCCTGAAAGGGGCATTGATTCGCACGGAGGATTTGGGTGGCCACCTGACGATCTTAATCCATAAAGGACAGATCATTCTTCTCCCCATTAACAGAATGGGACTAGCTGGTCAGCTCTACATCACCTAATGCCAACTAGTTATTCTCTATCGAGCCAATAAACACTTACTAGCGACATTAAAAGACGTAGCGATCTATTCACATCATACATATAATTTGACCGGAGCAAAAGAAAAATTCACATTTTTATGAAATGGTAACATTACCCAGACAGCAAATTAACATCTGCTGGCCAAATATAATAGCGAACTGTATGTTGCAATAACGTAGCAGCTAAACAATATCACTGTAGACGGCAGATCTGCGAAAATCGCATATAGAAAGGAAAAATAAATACGATCGAAACAATGTTGCTTTTAAAATTGGGGTATTTCCAGGCCCTTTGGTTTGTCATCTTAGCGCCCCCAATCGGCCGTACATTTCTTCCACCCTTAGGAAACATTGAACACCACAAAAACCAGTGGTTTTATATAGCGGAAACTATATGTGTGGCTTTTGAAAAACCGCAATAAGTTAACCACCTCACCTGTTCCACCAACAAAGCTCCAAAAAACAGAGCTATCGCGTCTTTCATGATGCCTGCCTTCTTTTATTGCCGTTCCCCCCCTACAGACTCAGACGCACAATCTACCAGCTGTTTGCCATTCCCAGCCTGCTTTCCGCAGTGCTTTTTTCATTGGACGATTTTAATCCAGTTACAGGAGAAGTGCATAATAAATGGTTAACGTCCACATCAATCAAGAAATGTATTTCTCTCCCGCCCCCGCCCCCATTTGAGGAGTTTCATTGGTTTTCAGGCTGCCAATCAAATACGTTGTGCCCTCTGGACTGTTCCAAGTTTCACGCTTATAATTTTTCTATATAAAAATAATAATGAAAATTATACAAAATACGACGTCATAAATTTGTCGAGTATGTAGATACATCGTTATTTTAAAAAGTCCAATAAACCCAGTGGCCGCGGTGCAAGTTAAATATTTTAAGACGTTACTCCCTATTAGTCGAAGAGGTCAAAGTTAGAAAGTCCAAAGGAGGAGCTTTTCAGGTCGCGGGCTGCAAACGAAGCTGAAAGATGGCGGTGAGTGTGGCGCTTCGGTCTACTGTGGTTTCAATGAATAAAAGCACGTTTTGTACATTTTGGGGGCTGAATTTTAAATTAACTAGACTTTAAGGTGTGTGCAATAAAAATACACCTCGAGCAGCCAAAAATAATGTAAATAAAACGGTTATACACCGGCGTGCGCTGCGTGCTGCACAAATCAAAGCGTTAATTGCCATTGCAGGATAAAGAGAAAAAGAAGAAGGAGAGTATATTCGACTTGTCCAAGTACATCGATAAAACCATCCGTGTGAAATTTCAAGGAGGGCGAGAGGGTAATATTCGCCGCAAACGGACGAGCTTGCCGGAAAGCCAGTTAGTAGTTCTATTATTTCAGCGTGGAGATAACTAACGGAATTGTATTTTGTGGTTTTGTGCGATTCTGTCCCTTTTTCAGCGAGCGGGGTGCTTAAAGGTTTCGATCCTCTTCTGAATCTCGTGTTGGATGGCACTATAGAGTACATGAGAGGTAAGAAGCGCCGGTGTTGTGCCATTTTTTTTGTTGCCTTGCCAGAGTTTGCTTCCGGAGCAAATAATTTCAATTATCTGTCGGCTTTTGCTGCGTTGTCAAAATATCACACCCATAGTTTTGAATGGGCATTTGTATAAATATTTATGCTCTCAAGATAACTTTCCCAATACTTTTAAAGGGGGTATCAATTTTTGTGCTACCTGAAACTGTTGCCTAAATTTTTCAGCGTAGTAGCCGTTTTTTTTTACACTTTTTTTTGTTGCCACACACCGCTACCTATAGTTTTCATCTATAATTGTGGAATAACTTAATTTCATCAGTAAACACAGTTCGCCCTTCTTGACTCAGACATAGACACGCAGACCTCGCTCTCAAAACACCTTGTAATGTTTTTGTGTCAAACAAATTTAGTTCCAGGTAAACTAATAAGGTTTACATTTATATTTAAATTAAACATTTATATTTTAACTAAAACAAAGCCACAATTTAAATTAGGGTCAAGCAAAACAAATACATGTGTACCGTCAAGTTTAAATGGTAAAATCTGGTCCCACATTCATGGAATTCTGAGTCCGTAACACTATAAACAATATAACAATCACCTTGATTTGTTTAATGCACATAATAAACACAAATATCAACAGAATATGACTAATGTTTAAGATAAACCATGTTAAAACTAACATACAAAGCTCCACTTCTGCTAAACATTCGAGTAGCAAAGACTTTCTGACTTAAATGATTTACGCATGTGCTGTAGCGCTAGGAAGCAGTTTGTTGGGTGGGGAAAAAAGGGCAGAACAGCCTGAATGAAGAGCAAAAATAAAGCACTTTTTTAGTATAACATTGACTGGTTTTATGTGCTTAGAACTGTACATGGTGAGCCAGGACGATCGATGTTGTGTTTTAGGCCAGACTCTGGTCCCTCTTCCAAATGGCTTGTTCCTGTCCTGATGTGCGAACCCGCACACGCGTTTGCGCACCTTTTTGCATCACCGCATTCTGAGTTTTGAACCTTTTATATTCCCCAATTTTGCCCACAGATCCCGATGACCAGTACAAACTAACAGAGGACACCAGGCAGCTGGGCTTGGTGGTGTGTCGGGGGACGTCAGTGGTGCTCATATGCCCCCAAGATGGCATGGAGGCGATTCCAAACCCATTCATCCAGCAGCAGGATGGCTAGTCCACTGTCACCTTTTCTTCCATTCTCTCCCTTCTGCAATCACACAGAGCCCTCCGTGCATCTGCCCAGGGCAGATGAGTGTCTGGGAAGAAAGATTCACATTTACTCATAAATAACCAGTTACTTACCCAGGCTTAATCTGTTAAAGGAGTGTCATTATAGTATTGCACTAAAATATGGAGAGAAACATTGTACATAGCAGTTGGTTTACACTTTTTAATTTAGCACTGCGATGGAAAAATTGATTTAAGTTTGTCTGGTGTCATTTGAGTTTTCACTTGTGTCCAGAGAGATTTGAGTTGTGACTTGTTCTGAACACACAGCTATCTGGAAAATGTACCCTTCAGTTTGTAGTCATTCTTTTAACGTTCAAATAGAAATTTGATAAATTGCTTGATGTTTGTGTCATTCTGTTATTGTGCAAAATCTGAGTGCAGAATATGAATAATTTCATGCTGGTTTAGGGTTGTAAATGTATTCTCTTGCAGCATTAGTCATTAGTAGCTTCCTCCACATACCCACATGATCTGCCAGCTCTTCCCTTGGCTGCAGAAACATGCCTTGCTCTTGAGCATTAGCCTGAATGCAGTAAACTGGATGCTGTATCTGCATCATACGCCGCGTCTTTGGCTAGAGGTGCCGTCTAAACGACGCACCTTGTGCCAGGAGTGTGTAGAACAGTGTTTCTCAGGTCAGTCCTTGGGGACCCTCGGACGGTCCACGTTTTTGCTCCGGTAGAGAGTTGAGAGGGAGGAAAAATGTGAACTGTCTGCTGGTTCCCAAGGACTGGCCTGGGACACACTGGTGGAGATGCTTTAACCCTGAGAAGAACATGGTAACTGGTTACGGAGCAGTCTAGCTCCGTGTTTCCCAATCTGGTCGTCTGGAATGTGGAGTGTCTGGCGGGGCGCTGGGAGTGAGGAAAATGTTACTTGACAATCGGTGATGAGTTTGGAGTAAAATACCTAAGATGGGCGTGAAGGGGGGGGGGAGGGGTTACCATTAACAGCTTGTAATGAAATGACCACAAGTTTTCTCTCTGTGGCTTCTGTGTGATTCTCTCATGTTTCTATGGGCTGTTCAGGGGCACCTTCATCTTCAGCTGTCACTGAGTATGAGATTTACCTGTATATCGGCTTCAGATTAGGTTTTTCCAATTTTTGTGTGCGTTTATAAAATTTTACAATGGTGATCTTAAATGTTTTGTTAGCACACTGTGTCGGTAACTTCTGCTCTTTCACTTAGGGAGACCCATCTGCTTTTTTGTTTGCAGAAATACTACATAATTGCTCATTTTATACAGTTGTTCATATGATCATATGAAATGTCTCCAGTTGTCAGTGTCACCAGCAGACATTTTCCTGCTGCACCATGTCCATCCATCCATTGGCAACGCATTAGCTGCTTATGGTCGCTGATGACAGTGTTCTGAGCTTTAGATGTGCTAATGTTTTTAGCCAATGGCATAGTGGGTGGGGGGGGGGGGTGCTATATTTAGACCTTGTTTATCAAAGTAAAATGACTTCCAGCATTAAGCTGGAAGCAGCCTGACACATGGTCCTGGGGATAAAAATACTTCACAGGAGAAGTTTATTTGGAGTATAGTTGGTACCATGGCTTCCAGTCAGTTACAGCACGAAGCCCCCAGTCTGGACGTCAGCGCTTCTTCCGAATTGGACCCGGCTGACGTGCGCGTCTGCGGGCCTTCGGAGGAGCCGCCGCAGGGAGACGTGCCTGAGACGGTTCTCCAGGTGCAGACGGAGTGCTTCCTCGTCAGCCGGCGGAGGCTGGCCAGCCTGAGCCCTTACTTCCAGGCTCTGTTCTACGGGGGGGGCCAGGAGAGCAGCCGCAGTCACATCGAGATCAAAGGGGTGGCCCTGGAGCAGTTCCGCGTCCTGATGCATTTCGCTCGGACTTCCGAGCTGCCCCTGGACAGGGAGAATGTGCTGGGGATCCTGCAGGCGGCTGACTTCCTTCAGCTGTCGCAGGCGCGGCTGCTCTGCTGTAAGTTTCTTGAGCGCGAGCTTCACCTGAGCAACTGCATGGGCATGATGGCGTACGCCTGGCAGCTGGGCTGTCTGGAATTGTACACGGCGGCGCGAAACGTCGCGCTCAGCCACTTGCCCGCCCTTGCATGCGAGGAGGACTTTCTGTATCTGACGAAGGAGAGTGTGGCCAGCCTCCTTTCCAGCGAGGACTTGTTTCTGCCCCGGGAAGATCTAGCCTTTGAAGTGATCCTGCGATGGGCGACCTTTGACCCCAGCCGTGAGGAAGACTTCCTGGAGCTAGCTGGTCTCGTTCGACCCGAGTGCCTCTCCCTACCCTACATCAACGAGATGCTGACAAGCGTCAAGGGCTCCGATCCCCGGGCCAGACTCATATGTAAACTAGATGCACACCCACCCGCAAGCTGGACTGTTCCCCGGCCAAGCCCTCGAACCCGAGTAAGAGAAACACTCTACATCCTCGGTGGCCCCCATGATCACGATGAGCAGAGCCTGTTCCAGTTCCATCCTCGCTGTGGGATGTGGCAGTCCTGTGCGCCCTTCCGAAAGAAGAACCTCACCCAGTTTTCAGTGGCTGCTGTAGGTAATGTTTTCTTAGACAAGGAGTGGAAAAGCTTGAATGCAAAAACACAAAAGCCCGTTAGTGCTCGTTAGCATTATCTCACCCTCACAGCTGGGTCCTCTCTTTTTTACAGGTGAGAACATGGTGGTGACTGGCGGTTATTTCCGCGACGAGGTTGTCTGGTACAGTGTGGACTGGGTGCTTGTTTTCCGGTGCAGCAGTGGCACTTGGGTGGACGGACCTGCACTGCAAAAGTCCCGCCACAGCCACTGCTCGGTGGGCCTGGGGGACGAAGTGTTCGTTCTGGGTGGCAGCATGGATGAGGGGCTCGTGCCTGATGTGGAGAAGCTGCTGGTGGGGGCGGGGAGCTGGGGGAGCGTCAGCGCCATGGTGCGAGCAGTGGAGAGAGCAGCCACAGTCTCCATGGAGAACTGCATCTACGTGGCTTGTGGCTTAGACGAGAATGGGGAGGTATACAGTGGCATTCAGAGGTACCAGCTGGAGACTGACCAATGGGACGTTGTCTCCTACTCCCCTCTTCCAAGGTCTGTATTTCTCATACGTTACCTTAGGCATTGATGGATTTTTCACTTATTTAAATTTCAAGTTTTTTTTTGTCACGTATCCCAAGCAGCACAGTGGAATTATTATGCTACAGTTGCAGGGCAGGGGATGGGTGCATGGGGGGGATGGAGCAGTGCAATAAGAAACGAAACGGTTCTAAACAAAGTACATTAAGGTGAAACGATAAATATACAACAAATAGGTGGTGCATATGGGATGGACACGCACAGGTACGGAAGCGTATTACTGCCGCTACATAATAAAAAAAACATTCTCACTATCACGTTATAACATGGAAACCTATCCCGATAGGATTAAAAGTTAAATTGATCAGGGGCGGTGTTATGCATCCCCTTTGATTTTGAATTTCTGCAGCTCTCATCAAGTACATAAGAAATATATCCCCTCACCGACTTCATTACATTTGCACTGACCCCAGCCTAAAGCACGTCTTCTTAATACAATTATTTGGAGATAATTAATTAGTGTCATCTGATGTTTTCACGTTACCACGTGATACGATTTCTCGTTTTAACGTGATGTTTTCACGTTATAACGTAATATTTTCACGTTATAACGTAATAGTGAGAATATTTTTTTATGTCGTGGCAGTAATACGCTTCCGCGGCAGTAATAACCCTCGAATTACTAATTCGTGCGAACGAAATAATATTTTTTTTTCTACCGTGACACCTAAGGGGCTCCGTACTTCCGTACACAGGAGCACGTAAAAGAAGGATCAAGAACAATGATGATTGTATCCTTTGCATAACAGGTTTATAATAATCCAGACGCAGACCATGTAGATGCAGTCTTTTTCTAATTACCTAATAACCTGTGAAGTTTACCTCCACTTACTAAACAAGTGCCATTGCCGTTCACATACATTACACTTCTGTAATTATTCACTTACAGGAACTCAAAAGACTAAATAGCCTCATGCAATAATGGCCTTTACCGTACATTTGTTTAGTAGACACTTTTGTCCAAAGCGATATTCGAGTGAGGGAAGTTTGGGATGAAAGCAGGGTGTGGTCAGTCCTGATTTAGTTGGGGTTAAGGGCCTTTCTGAAGAACCCAAAAATTATATGATTACTCTGCTGGCGATGGGATATGAATGCATAGCCTTCCAGGCATGAACACAAATCCCTAGGCCACTGAGCTAACCACCATCGAATGAGTCCCAGTTCATTGGATGTTGCTCACTTCCATGATGTTTGGCATCAGCTCTTCAGAATGCTCACTCAAACGCAGCCAGACCAGTCTGAGTAGCCTGCATTGGCAGTGCATGACATTTCTGGGGTTCATTTGTAAAGTGAAAAGTATCAGCTTGTCCCAGTTATGTGTGTGAGTCCTGAAGCCAGTTCATCGTCTGATCTCAAGGTATGATCTTCAAGCAACAGTGCTCAATGGCGCCATCTATCTCTTTGGAGGTCAAGCCTTACGCCTGGATGTGAAGACCGACGAGTGGACCATTCTGGATGAAGCATGTCTAGAGAGGAAGTTCTTCACGGGGGGGACAACTTCCAGTGGGCAGATCTTCCTACTGGGGGAGCGGAAGGGAAACAAAACGCTTCCCAATATGATACTGCTGGATCCCTACACAGACACCTGTATGGAAATAGATAATGAGATTCCCTGCCCTGTTCCAATCCGCGGTTGTGTCACAGTTCGGTTCTGTAGTTGATTTTGGATGGTATCATCAATGTACCATTGTACCTGTACAGTTACCATAAGTAGGCCTACAAGTTTACACTAGACTCTCCACATACGTTACACTCTAGATCTGTTGTTTGATACGTACATTGAAATGCATGTTCATAATCCTTCCAGTTTATTGGTATCAGACATACATGCATTAAGTTTTGTTAAAATATGTTCTTTGGTAACAGGAGAGACCACTTACCAGTGTTTGGGATGCTTTGCATACTGTAAGTGGCTAAAATTAGCTTGGTCATATGATATTAAAATATTATGGTAAGAGAACTCATGACAGTTGGCACAGAGAAGCTATTTTCAGTATGAACTTGGCAGGAAAAACACCATCAAAAAGAAGTAAAGTTAGATATGTATTTCCATTGAGTGGCGCTCGTACCAAAAGTAACAGAATTTATGTTTGAATTTTTTTACTTAGTACAGTAATTCTTTTTTCAAAATTGTTTGTTTTTATTATATGATTGAGAATTTGTATTCAGTGGGTATAGAATATAATGTAACTTAATTCAATGCATTTAATTTGGATTTTATAATACAAAGTGTATAAAAATTCCATCCATCCATCTTCAGAACACATCCCTGGCGAGAATGGGGCTGAATCTTCCAATTCAGCTTTAACTGCTGCACATGCATCCATAGAACAACATGGCGGAGGGGTAGGAAGTGAGTTAAATTCACGTTGGATTTCAGAGTGTTTACATGAATAATGCCGGATCTCGTCAGGCTTTCAGCAAACACAGTAGGGAGAAAATGTCTTTGCACTAAATGATTTCAGTTACAATTTCATTTGGCTCATGAAATGATTATGATATGGTGCACTGGAGGAATACTCCCAACTGTCTATATTGCTCATAAAGCTGAACATAAACCTGAATGATTCCTAGTCTCTATGTAGTCACATAGAATGTCACAGTGCAGAGAAGGTTTTGCTGCAAGACAAGTTCATGTCCACATACAGAAAATTGGGAAGAAGAGTTGGAGTTGTCAAATTGTCCGTAGTTGTGAAGGTTGTGTGTGATGAATGTGTCCTGTGATGGGTTAGCGTCCCTTCCTGGGTTATTCTCTGCTCTGCACCTGTGGTTTCTGGGATAGGTTCTGGACCCCTGCAAACCCATCTAGGGCAAGTGGGTACAACGGATGTATGGAAAGGGGGAAAAATGGACACAGATCGAAAATTCAGTGGATTAGCCGTTCAGAATGTGTTATCAGTCCATCTCTGCAGTTTGAATTCTCTAGTGAAGTTCAGAGATGTGTGACTTCCTCGACTCCCATGGATGTACAATTTGGTTCACATAAGAACCAAAGCACTGTCCTGTGAGCTGCTCTGTTTGCCCATCCAAAGCACTAAGGGTTTCCTTCCATTCTGCAGTCCATGTGTCCTGAGGGTCTGTTTGCTGACATGAAGGGCTGAGTTTTTTCCACAGTTGGTTCCAGAATCCCTGATTTCAGTTGGGTTTTTCCATAGTCCTGAAACTGAGTGAGTGACAGTTTAGTCTGTATGCAATCTAATAATTCAATGTGGTACTTTATACACTTTAAGAATTATAGGCACTGAGTTTTTTTTTTATCTTTTTGAAAATTATTTTAAGTGAGAATATGAAACCATATGCATAACCTTGAAACCAAACTAAAATGCTAATTTAATTTTTGGCATAATGTCTAATTGTCTTTTGCTCTGTGTCTTTATCCTTTGTACTCATTGTCATGACTTTTTTGTCCGGTACAGGATTGCAGACATTGCAGTAATTCGCCATCTGTCCTTTAATTTACAAGTTTTTTATTTTCCATTATCACTCATAGAATATGAACAATTTTTGTGCTATAGAGAGTCAAAAGTTTAACATCCAATTCATTCTACAATCCTACAATAACTATAATTCTTTCTGTACCTTAAAGAAATTTTACAGAATTATAGAAAATTATGGAAAGAAAATTATAAAAATGATCAAATTAATGATAAAGAAAACTCAGGGCAGGAGGAATATGACCATCAAATATTGCACCTTCACACAAAAGCAGGAACATGTCAGGGTGGTTTGCTTGCAAACTGTGCATCAGGCAACCCAAACTAGATTAAATATTCCTCCAACATTAAACGAATAAAGAAATTAAAGAAGCTGCAAGCTAAACACAACTAAACATGTAAATATTATCCTGAAATTGACCATCCCCCATGGCATTGACAGGCTCTTGGGTCACCTTCTGTCTGACACTTGGGGGCGCTCTTGTACCACACATTGTTAGTCTAACTTATGATGTTTTCAAGCCAAATCCCAAAAACTTATTATTATAAAAAGCAGTAGGTTTCATAAAAACTTAAAACAACATTAGCAACTTAAACTTTGCAACATTACTAACAGCTTAAGTAACACTTTACTGTGCTGTACTGAGGCATAAATGTTACATATATTTTATCTTGTAGCAGATTATTAGTAGAATTAAAGTTAGTGGTGATGCCAGTGTAACTTCACAGAATAGGCCAGATTGAACATTCTGGTTTGCTAATTATACTGTTTTTCTAAATGGACTCTATATGAATGACTAACAATGAACTTTGCTACCAATGTCTTGAGAGTAATCTCGGTTACAACTTTTGTTGCATTTGCATAACAACACAAAAAAACAGGTAAGAGACACTAAAAATGTTCATTGATTGCCAAAAATCCATACAGTTTAGAAAGTGTAGTTTGAAATTATCAGTGGGCCATGTGCAGTAAATAAGGAATGACTATTAATATGTAATGAACAACAGAGTGGCATTTCTGAACATTTCACATAGTACAGAAGCATATGACTACCTGGTCTTGGGCATTGTGCAGGTAGAACCCTTCCTCCTGTTGCTGAAATTGTTGAGGACACAATTGGACAAGACAGTCAGCTTTGATTTGAGGGCACACTCTCTTTCGTTCCGGGCAGACACATCTTCCTCATCTGCCCTCTCATCCTCTTCATCAGAGCTCTCTTCATCACTGCGCTCATCTCGCTTCACCTACAGGACCAGGAGAGTTGAGCTTGGTTTGACGTAGATCGAGGACAACCCAACACTAATATCACACCATGAGGATTATCTTTAACCGTTCAGGCTTTTGGTCTCGCTGTACGCCGGAGCATGCTGGGTAATCCATAGGGGAGCCGTACTCACCTTGCCCAGGAAGATAAATTTGTAGACCATACGCAGGATGAGCCAGGCCCAGAACACATGCAGCGCTTGGAGAACCAGCAGAAGGACATTAAAGAAGTAATAGCCAAAGAAAGGTTTGAAGAACTCCATAGACAAGACCAGCGTCGCATGGATGATCCTGAAAGCAAAGAGATGGCATGAATCATTCAGCACCCTGACCTACTGCATTTCACAGCATTGCGCCACTGAGTGTAACGCCCGGTGAACCAGGTTCATTAAGAAAACCGGACTGGTCTGAGTGTGATTCTTTAGCAAATCGTCATTCCATGGTTACACCTTTATTGTCATATCAGAAGCTAGTCTCGTACTTGCCGGGAAACAGCACGAGGCGGGTCACCAGGAAGAGCACAGCAAAAATGACAAACAAAACGTCACATATCTTCTTCCAGCCAGCGTAGTTTAACATCTTGGCAGACTGTGGAGAGACAACACATATACTATCTGCTCATCTGCTCTATTTCGGCTAAACAGGACACCATACAACAAGCCTCATGCTCGTCCACTAGCAACTGTTATTAATCTTATTTAGATGTGTTTTGATTTGCCTAAAATTTGGACATTGAGGCATTTGAACAAAGATACAATGTGATCACACACAAGGAGATTAGGGCAGGGATCCTTCTGTGTCCTCAGGTATTTGCTCCTGAAGGGAGTTTGTACATAAGAGTCACAAACGCTGCCCTATAACTCTGACCAATGGAATACACCAATTCCCAATAGAAAACACCGTTGCAAATTATGAACTTGAAGTCTACATGCCAAGTGAGTCATATTCCAAGTGAGTGCACCGTCAACTGAAACGTAATAATAGTATAATAAAATTCGGTATGCTGGAAATCACACAGAGCTACTCCTACCTCTAGGAGAATATCCGTCGAGTCGTGAATCATCAATACCAGTGTCCCAATACGGACGTAATTGGCACAGTACGAGAAGCCAATCAGGAAGATGGTGGTCACATGATGAATGATCTGTTCTTTGAAATCCTGGGAAGAAAAAAAATTAATTGAATCTGGGGTAGATACTTCCAAACTACTTGTTCTGAATACTGACCTGTCAGTAAGTGTCATGTGGCGTATTTTAGACCAGTTAATTATAGGACTGCAAATACATATCTTTCAGTAATGTTTACAGGCACTCAGTGACTTCTAAGTGAATTAATGTATTTTCATTTGTCCATAAGGGGTTATAAAGGCACTATGACCATGTGTTTCCTGGAACAGCAGCAGTGCACTATTGCCTGCACTGATCCATTTCTGTAGGATTTTAAACAGAAAATCAGCGGGAGTGCAGACAGAAAGCAAAGTGCTATTGGTAAACGCCCACTATGGAGGCTGGTGTGATTTGCCTGGGTGGTAAGGGAAGGCAGACTGGGCTGCTGGAAAGGTGATCTGGGTGTGACTTGCCCCAGTACAATTCATTAAATCAGATCTGAGACAAAATAGAGACTGAAAGTCAAACACTGAAGATGTGACTATAGAGTGAATGTGAATGTGATCAACGACGACAAATCAGTCAACTGCAAACCAAGATTACAAGACCGGTAATGTGAACTAAGATAAAAGTTCCAGAGCATAAATACCCTGTACGCTTTTCAAAAGGCCATAATACATAAACGTATTATCTGCCGTGTTGTACACAGCTTCAGGCAAAAGCATTTGCTAAATAAATATGAATGAAAATATATAAAGACTGCAATTTCTGTCTTTAATAAGTAAACGGGACAGCAGAGCAAACAGACATGAACCAAGAGATCGTCAAATCCAGTGACCCAGTGACCTTTGCAGAGACAGAGAATTGGGACTTTCTAGTGACATATGCATATCTACAACAGTGCAGTGTCGGGGGGGGGGGGGGGCTTAGCCCCTCGGCTGAAGCGTACCTTCCTCTTCACATCCACGGAGACACAGAGAAGGAGGGACCAGTAGAAGGCCAGTTCCATTGCGTAATACCAGTAGTGAGCTTCTGCGATGGACTGTGGAGACCAGCATGAAAGAAAGCACTTTACACAGCGTGTAGTTGGAGTATGGAATAGTCTTCCGGTTAGTGTAGCGGAAGCTAAAACCCTGGGTTCCTTTAAATCAGAGCTAGATAAGACTTTAACATAACTTTCGTAAATCTCCCAAGGCCAAGCCGTAAGAGCAGTGGAGTCGACGTAGGGGAAGTAAACACGCTGCAGATTACAGAACCCAAGGCGAGGGGGGGGGAGCTGTGAAACAATAGGGGGAAGTACTCAAGGACTTGCTCTGCAGCCAAATTCATATCCTTTTGTATGAAAAGAGGGAGAGTTTCCTATTTACAAAAGAAACTATTTTAGGTGTGTGGTGCAACAAAGCCCAGTTAACACTCAGCATTTCAGTGCTGTTATGAACTTGTTTCCTTATGACGTTGATGTGTTGGGCCGAGAGAGACGTGGATGATCACGCATATTTAGTCCACGCGTGCATGTGTTTGGGTGGAGCAGTCACAGGTGCCGCCTGGACTCACTTGTTTTGGGTATCCGTGCCAGCATGCCCTCTGGTCCCAAAGCCAAGGCGCCTGAGGGCAGGAAGAGAGAGAGAGCCAGTGAAAGCAGGAAGCGAGTCTGAGGGCAGGAACGACGAGGGCGTAGGCAGGACGGGTCCATCACAGGGCACACGCACAAAAGGCGTCCATCACAGGGCACACGCACACAAGGCGTCCATCACAGGGCACACGCACACACACAAGGCGTCCATCACAGGGCACACGCACACAAGGCGTCCATCACAGGGCACACACACACACACAAGGCGTCCATCACAGGGCACACGCACACAAGGCGTCCAT